GATCAATGAATCATGTTATGTCCCACTCAAAGTTGGTGGAAGTGGAAGAGGCAGCAGCTAAGCATGAAGAACTGTTTTAATTTTTTGTTGTATTATGTAGTATTACCAGTCTAAAACCTAAATCAGTGAGTCAAAGTTAGAGGTGTCAGGGCACAGCAGAAAGCTAACCAGTCTGACACAAGGATAAATGACCCAAGCTATCTATCTCCCACTTAGAGTCAGAGTAAGTAACACTACTAATCGCTAGGCACAGCAGTAACCTAGCCAGCCTCACTCAGGAATCAAGTAAACAATTAAACAGGCTATCTATCTCCCACAAACACTACATTTTCTTGCTGCACAAAAGTGTATTCAGTGCTGTTTTAATACATGTAAAAAGTAAATAAAATAAAAACTAAAACCACGTATCAAATATTTGAAACTTGTAAAGTGATAATACTATGAAACACGTCACATACTTAGTTTAACACGTTTGTTGCCAGAGATGTAACTCCACCCCCTGCAGTGGCTCCTGGAAGAAGAGTTCTTGGCTACCTAATAGCAATTCTGTGAATTATTTATAAGCAAAGAGAGGCATTCATTGACTGAGCGTGATCAGCTGATGCTCTCAATGTATGAGTGTCAGGATAGGAGTAACACTTTTGTCAAAATAAGGCAGTATCTTATAAAGTACCTCAGCAAAGGAAAACAAAAAAAGTGATACTAATAATAAATTTGCTTATTATTTTATCTTTAACCAATTTCAATGTCAATGTCAATGTCAATGCCAATGTCAATGTCAATATCCACTTCAGTGACTGGTGTTGTGGACAGTGTTGATAGAGAGATGGAAGTTGATGCTGCTGTTGTTGCAGTTGTAGTATCTAGTGTAGATGGTGATGTTGTTATAGTTGTAGTACCTAGTGTAGATGGTGATGTTGTTACAGCTGTAGTACCTAGTGTAGATGGTGATGTTGTTATAGTTGTAGTGTCTAGTGTAGATGGTGATGTTGTTATAGTTGTAGTACCTAGTGTAGAGGGTGATGTTGTTGCAGTTGTAGTATCTAGTGTAGATGGTGATGTTGTTATAGTTGTTGTATCTAGTGTAGATGGTGATGTTGTTGCGGTTGTTGTATCTAGTGTAGATGGTGATGTTGTTGCAGTTGTAGTATCTAGTGTAGATGGTGATGTTGTTGCAGTTGTAGTACCTAGTGTAGATGGTGATGTTGTTGCAGTTGTAGTACCTAGTGTAGATGGTGATGTTGTTGCAGTTGTAGTACCTAGTGTAGATGGTGATGTTGTTGCAGTTGTAGTACCTAGTGTAGATGGTGATGTTGTTATAGTTGTAGTATCTAGTGTAGATGGTGATGTTGTTGCAGTTGTAGTATCTAGTGTAGATGGTGATGTTGTTATAGCTGTAGTACCTAGTGTAGATGGTGATGTTGTTGCAGTTGTAGAGCCAGGTGTAGAGGGTGATGTTCTTTGAGTAGAGGTTTCTAGTGTAGGTGATGTTACAGTTGTAGAGCTTACTGTTGATGGTGATGTTGTAGCAGCTGTAGTGCCTAGTGTAGATGCTGATGTTGTTACAGTTGTAGTGCCTAGTGTAGATGGTGATGTTGTCACAGTTGCTGTAGTTGTTTTATTTGCAGTTGATGCCAGTGTAGCTGCAGTAACTAATGCTGTTCCTGAAACAGGTGATATTGTTGATGATGGTCTGGTAGTTACGGTTTGTAATAGTTTAGATGTTGTTTTGGTTGCTGCTGATGTAGATGTTTTTGCAGAGCTGGGATTTATTTTACAGATGTTATTCTCAGAAATCCTAATTGTAATATTGTAATTCATCAATGTAATTTGTCCAAAATCATTTTCCCTTTTATAAAATGTTTGCGCCAATATATTTAATGGTACCAGTTGTAAATAATAATCCATAAAAAGTGTTTCCACCTAAAATAAAAACAAATATAAACACATCAGTATTTTTTTTTGCCATCTCAAATTGTTCTACATATTGCCTCTTTAGTATTTCAATTAAGTAGTTATACTCAACTCTAATTAAGGTAAGTCATTACTTTTAGAAATAAAACTAAAAAATGAACTATGTATGAGCAAATTATTTTTTGTGTTTTGACCTTTATTACAATTATATTTTAAACCAGCAAACAAACATGTTTAAACAAATATTGAAACCAAAATAAAGCAAGGAAAACTTTGAAAAGTATGCAAGACTTACTAAAAACTTGGTCAGATTTCAGCTTTCCTACCCCTCACACACCAATCCCTGTATCATACCAGTCCTCTAATGGCAGAAACAGGGCAATCATTGCGTAGCAGCAGGAGAGATAAACCCCACACTTAAGCGGCACTGTGATGGATGAATCCAGCTTTTTTCTAACCCCCCTCCTGACTCCACTACATCTATTTGTCCCCCAAGTCACCCCCAAATGCCCATAGTCCCCCCATATTACCTATTGTTTTATTTCGTGCCGGGACCTAGGTAATGGGCGCCACCATCTTTGTGTGCGCAGATGAAGTCCCTGTGGGACACGTCATATGCCCACACTAGATAGCGCTGTGAAATTCCTGCGCATGCCCAGTTAAACACTTGGGCATTCGCTATTGTCCGAAATTCGGACGGGAATTTCGTCTTTTCATTCGTCGGAAAGACGAAGGAATAAATAGAAATTTCAGATGAACAAACACTGCATATCGGTGTTCGTTTGCTCGTTCATTCATTTTATTACAAAGAGGGAGCTACTGGATCGCAGCTCCCCACCACTTCCTAAGCCCCCCATTCCCTCCCTCACTCTATGGAGGTCAATATGGCCCCATATTAGCATAAGGGAGAATTAAATTTCCCAAATGCCCCTACTCACTATGCCGTGAGTAGAAATATATATGTAATTACAGTTTATTCTTTTTATTTTGAGAGCAGGAGATAAAAACTTTAAAGCAAGTTAGCATCTGGTTGAAAATTAAACCATTTAAACCATTTTGTTTTCATGCAGGTTGTGTGAGTTACAGACAGGGGAGATGTGGCTAGGGCTGCATAATCAGAAACAAAAGTTATCTCCTAAATGGCAGAGAATTGAGCATTGAAACTTCAGAGGTATGATGTATACACCAAACTTCTTTATTAAGCTAAAGTTATTTTGGTGACTATAGTATACCTTTAATTTATTAGTATTTAAATTGCTTTAAAGTATTTCTAAATATTTAAATTATAATTTTAATTGGAATTGAAAAATTATATGTGGAATGTATTTTAAGGAAATATTTATTTTAATTTTGTATATCAAATATTTGAAGTTTTAATTCATTTTCAGTTTTTAAGATGAAAAAAAATGCGTAGAAATATAGAATGTAATGTATGTAAAAAACACTTCTCTTAGGGTCAAAAGCTCCACTATAACCAAGGAAATGTTACAACTCATAAAAAGTTAGAACTTGAATTGCTGGAAACAAAATATATTATTGTTCAATAAACAAGCAAGTTCCTTATAAGTAGCGCGATACTTCATATATGTGTGAAAATATTTTGTGTTAGATTGTAGGGAACGATTATTTCAGGTGTTAATTGTAAGTATATAAAATAAGTCGTAATAGGTAATTGTTTAATTCCCTGGGGAAGTATGTGCAGACTTGTGAAACACGTAGAATTTAATGATTACCTTTTGGACAGCATAACATCAGTACTTTGTGTATCCCATACTACTAGCATGCACAGTGATGACAAGATGGGGGAGCGCTTGCTGACTTTACTTATGAATTTAATTGTACAATTTTACCTGTATACAAGTGCCAGTGTGAGTGCTTTTCCTTTGAGGGGGAGTTTGTTTGTTTGTATTTTAAGTTTGGTATAATTAATACTGCGCAAAAAGGATCTGCATTATCAAGATTTTCAAACTTTTTTTTTTTTTTGGAATGTGAAGGGTGTTCCACTAGGAAAAATCTTGCATAGACCCTACAGAACTGGACTGAGTTGGACTGCATTTACTTGCTGGATTCACTAACTATTTGTGATGTTATTTATGTTTAGATTTTATAGGTTTATTAGGAAGTAACTACTAAATTTGTGGTTTGTTAGTGTGGTGTTTTTCTGCAGTACATTGTGGTGCATTTAGTGTACCTGCCAGTGTGTATAGATAAACACCGTGGTCGGGATATATTTCAATGTTTCTATGGTTCATATCACATTAGCTGCAATTGCAGGTATGGACCTTGACAGAGGACCTCTTTTCCAGCTACTGTTTATGAATTATGTATAAACATTTATATAGGTATAGTATTATGTACTTACTTCGAGAGAGATGCTGAAAGCTCGTATCAATATCAAGTCTTCTTCACATGTATTTTTTATGTAGTGCTGTTTACCAATAGGAAAATACACAACATCTCCAAGACCAATATCAAATTCAATAGTTTGCTCATTTGTTACTCCAACCTGTGTAAAATGGAAACATCAAATAAATGACCTATAACTAAATGAAATGTTACACATAATTACTTTTTAACACGTGCCACGTGTCTGATACTGTTAATCCAACGTTTCTGTGGAAATTAGTTTTCTTGCTATCCACCCCAGCAGCAGACCTACCACAGAGGGAGCCCCTCAGCTAACCCATGCACTTACCCAATGGACATGTGCCACCAGGAGCCTGGTCATATGCTGCAGCCCTACAACAATGCAACTGGACCTCTTTACTAATGGCCACGCTAGGAGGAAGTGAGAGCCTGTCATTCCTCCCAACTACAGATACCAAGTCGCGCAAGAGGGGAATGTAGAGATGAGGGAGGGCACGAATTGGAAGAGCCAGCTCCTAATTCCCAACAGCCTCAGCCAGCAGAAGCCTTGACCCAAAACGTAGGAAACATTAGGGTGGCTACGAATGTGTAAATTTTGACCTGCATTTTTGCATCTTTGTGTGTCATTGTGTATCTGTGCATTTGCATGTGTGTCTTCAAGGTCGGCAAATGGTAGACACAAAACTGGCAAAGCATTGTGGGAGTTGTACAACAGATGGGATAAACCTTTTGGTCCACCTTGCAATGGAGGTGGGAACAAATCTTGCACCAGAGCACTCTCTGGGGCTGCTACTGACCTACCCTAACTATTAAAGGACCACTATAGGCACCCAGACAACTTCAGCTCAATTAAGTGGTCTGGGTGCCAGGTCCTTCTAGTTTTAACCCTGCAGCTGAAAACATGTTTCACTGAGGGTTAATCCAGCCTCTAGTGGCTGTCTCACTGACAGTTGCTAGAGGTGCCTCCGCGATTCTCATTGTCTAAATCGCTGTGAGAAGATGCTGGATGTCCATAGGAAAGCATTGAGTAATGCTTTCATATAGGCTGTTTGAATGTGTACGCGGCTCTTGCCATGCATGCACTGTGGCGAAACCGGCCTCGCCACGTGTCCTTGGAGGGGGCTGCTTGCCCGCCTCTTGCCTTTGGACTATGGACCAGACTTTATGTGAATGTGTTATACCCCAGATAGGAATCCCATGGAGCCCATTCGTATGAAGCTGACTGTAAAGACTTTGGCTCCATGGCGATTAAACTGTATTTGTGTGGTCCGAGCGCCATTCACTTAATAATGTGCGCTCAGACCTGAGCTATCTGGGGATATGTGAAATGTCTGTGTGTTATGTGTAAAAAGTGACTTTATGCATTTTAAAGTGTTTTGTGTCTTTTTGCAACCATGTGCTTAATGGAGTCTTGTGTCTATCCTGGGAGATAATTGAATTACTCTCCAGGATAGAAGACTCTGAAACTGGTTTGGGCCAGAAAGCCATGCTTCATTTAGTCACAAAGGACTTTCCCTTAACTTTTGAACCCCTGGTCTGATTCGTGCCATTTTTTAATATGTTGTTCCCCTGAGTGGATTGATTATGAAAATGTATGTTTTATGTTTGTGACATGTATATTTTATAAGTTATAAATATTGTGTAAAAACTGTATTCCTCTGCCGGTGATAATGAGATTACCCATTGTGTTCAGTAATCATATCACAGGCAGATGGGAGGATTTTGTGTGGGAGTGTCTGGGTGTATTGTATGGATTGATTGGCTGTTTTGTAACGCCCTGTGGGCTGTACTATGTTTGTGGATTGGGAATAAAAGAGACTGTATGTGACAGTACAGGGAGTTCCTGTTTTAACCCTCAAAGTGAAGTGTCGTCTCATTATTGGGGGAAGGATTCATTGTATGCTGTTCCAGTTTGACTGCTAGGAGAGTAAACCTATTTGTATGGTTCCTATTCAACTGTCTACAGCATTCATATGCTTGGGAGAATTTATTTGTTTCTCCGGTTCGGTGATTGTGGTGTCTGCCAGAGTGCTTGGAGTCCTCAGGAAGCGCTAGGAGCATCCTTCAACGGAGGTACCCAGTCGGGGTGCCAGGTGATCCGTTACATTGGTGGCAAGCGGTGGGATGGCGTCCTAGTGCGAGGTAAAGCAGCTCAGAGACACAGTCGTTTGGATTTACAAATTGAAGGCGACGCTAGTGTTTATACAGCGTCCCTGTCTACATAAAGATTTGGGAAAATGGGGTTCGTGGATCCTTGGGCACCTCGCACACCTGAGGAAGAGGGTGAATTGGACTGGAGAGATATTGCCCGGCAAGAACTATGGTACAATGCCCTGGAGGAAGTCCAGTATCAACGGCAGCAGCGCCTTCCTGGTGTCGCATACCGGTTGGAGGAACAAATGGCCTGGCGGATGCCGCTTCTGGGAGACCAACCCGGAGGGCAGCAGGTCAGACAACTTGAGTACCTCGTGGAAAGGGAACTGAGCCTTGACGCCTCATACCGGGCACTGTGGTGGTGCACTGTCCAGCCAGAGACATGGAGGGCAGAGGGCATCCAGCCGGAGGGGGAGAACTACACTAGCCCTGGCCTGTTGTGGAAGGCCTTAGCAGAAGACGTCGACTTTGGCAGTCCAGCAGAGTCATGGTACTGGGCTATTTTTTATTACCTGGGTGAGATGGTACAGGGCCCGAGATCTATGGGACTGGGACAAGACCTCCACCGTTTGGCTGCCATGGAACGACAGCTAGAGATGGACTATGTGGAACTACTAAACTCATGTCAGCCACAGGGCATAGACACAGAACAGGAAAACTGGCTGGGAGACCCAGACCTGCCAACCTACAGCTGGGAAAACGCAGCCGAGGTACCCCCTGCTTCACTACCAGCGGCAGAAGTAGGGGACCTCATAGACTGGTCCTGGGAAGACCCACAGATGGCAGGTGGAGATGGGATGGCGGTCTCTCTACCGGCCCTACAGGGATGCTGGGCGGTCGGCCCAGATCTCCAGCGGCAGTGTGTACCCCAGGGAGCAGAAGGTGCAGTCCTTCCTCCCCAGCGGCAGTGTGTACCCCAGGGAGCAGAAGGTGCAGTCCTTCCTCCCCAGCGGCAGTGTGTCCTGCAGGAAGCGGAGACAGTCGGTCTCACTCCCCAGCAGCAGGGCAATATATTAAAAGGGGAGACAGTTGGTCCCCCTCTCCAACAGCAGAGAGAGTGTCAGGGAGAGGAGCTTGTTATCCCCTCTCCCCAGCGGCTGAAAGTATGTTTGGGAGAGGAGCTTGTTACCCCCCCTCCCCAGCGGCAGCGTGTACCCCAGGGAGATGAAGGTGCCGTCCTTCCTCCCCAGCGGCAGTGTGTACCCCAGGAAGCAGAGACCATCTGTCTCGCACCCCAGCCGCAGGACAAAATATTGAAAGGGGAGACAGTTGGTCCCCCTCTCCACCAGCAAAGAGAGTGTCAGGGAGAGGAGCAGGTTACCCCCTCTCCCCAGCGGCAGTCTACAGTTCAGAGAGAGGAGCTTGTTACACCCTCTCTCCAGCGGCAGCCTAACCCACCAAGGGGAGATGTTAAGCCCCACAACTATGCAGATGGGACCGTAGTCTCTGCACTTGCAGCCCCAGGGGCAGGGACGGTCGGTCCTGTCCCCCAGCCACAGAGCAGTGTATCCAGAGGGGAGACAGTCGGTCTCCCCCTCCCCCAACCAGGCTCCAACCAGGCTACTTCAGTGGTAGCGCTGGCACCCGGGCAGAGTACCGCTGGTCTCTGCCCACTCAGCAACCCACCAAGGCAGTCTACCAGCCCCCCGCACAGCTGTGGTGAGGCACCTGGACATGGACAAGTTGCTATTTTATCCAGGTGTAGTAACCAGTTATTGTGGGTGGGCTGTATTGCTGTTTGTGCTTCGTGGGTGGGTTGCTGGACTAACCAGGGCACTGACCGGCAGGAGGTCAGATACCCTGTTAGTTTGGATGGTAAAGGGGAGAAATGTGGCGAAACCGGCCTCGCCACGTGTCCTTGGAGGGGGCTGCTTGCCCGCCTCTTGCCTTTGGACTATGGACCAGACTTTATGTGAATGTGTTATACCCCAGATAGGAATCCCATGGAGCCCATTCGTATGAAACTGACTGTAAAGACTTTGGCTCCATGGCGATTAAACTGTATTTGTGTGGTCTGAGCGCCATTCACTTAATAATGTGCGCTCAGACCTGAGCTATCTGGGGATATGTGAAATGTCTGTGTGTTATGTAAAAAGTGACTTTATGCATTTTAAAGTGTTTTGTGTCTTTTTGCAACCATGTGCTTAATGGAGTCTTGTGTCTGTCCTGGGAGATAATTGAATTACTCTCCAGGATAGAAGACTCTGAAACTGGTTTGGGCCAGAAAGCCATGCTTCATTTAGTCACAAAGGACTTTCCCTTAACTTTTGAACCCCTGGTCTGATTCGTGCCATTTTTTAATATGTTGTTCCCCTGAATGGATTGATTATGAAAATGTATGTTTTATGTTTGTGACATGTATATTTTATAAGTTATAAATATTGTGTAAAAACTGTATTCCTCTGCCGGTGATAATGAGATTACCCATTGTGTTCAGTAATCATATCACCTGCAGAGGGGAGGATTTTGTGTGGGAGTGTCTGGGTGTATTGTATGGATTGATTGGCTGTTTTGTAACGCCCTGTGGGCTGTACTATGTTTGTGGATTGGGAATAAAAGAGACTGTATGTGACAGTACAGGGAGTTCCTGTTTTAACCCTCAAAGTGAAGTGTCGTCTCATTATTGGGGGAAGGATTCATTGTATGCTGTTCCAGTTTGACTGCTAGGAGAGTAAACCTATTCGTATGGTTCCTATTCAACTGTCTACAGCATTCATATGCTTGAGAGAAGGTATACGCTTCTCTGGTTCGGTGATTGTGGTCTCGGCTGCAGTGCTTGGAGTCCTCAGGAAGCGCTAGGAGCATCTTTCAACGGAGGTACCCAGTCGGGGTGCCAGGTGATCCGTTACATGCACATTCGGATCTGACATTGGTAGGGGGTGGAGAGTTCCCCAGCACAGATTGAGCCTGGCGCTGGAGAAAGGTAAGTGGCTGAAGGGATTTTAACCCCTTCAGCCCAGCGGTAGGGGGGCCTCGAGGGTTTGGTGGACCTAATGACCCATAGTGCCAGGAAAACAAGTTTGTTTTTTTTGCACTATAGTGCTCCTTTAATGTTTCTCTGCATATTCTAGCATTCACTATTACTTGACAGCATATTTTTATATACAAATATCTTGGTAGTAGATGACCGGCCATACCCATAGCAAAGTACATCTTGGTTAGTTTTTTTTCATGGAAGGCTCCTTCACATAATTTTCAACCATTGGGCTATTATTTCACACTAAAGTCAGTTACAAAAACAAATCTCCCATTTATTGGAAAAAAGTACAATCAAAACATCAAAAATCCAATCAATACTATGATGATAGAAGCTTTTGCATAAAAAAAGCATCTCAGAAGATATATGATAACATTAATCAGAGCTGGCTCTATAATTATATGATTTAGGCGGCCACCTAATGCCTCGTGCTGGTTGGAGCCTCATGACCGACTAAATCACCTTAGGGTAGAGTGATTGGTCGGGTCCTCGGTCCATGTGACTGCCTGTGTGTGTGTGTGTGTGTGACTGTCTGTCTGTGACTGTCTGTGTGACTGTCTGTGTGTGGGACTGCCTGTGTGTGTCTGCCTGCCTGTGTGCGTGTCTGCCTGCCTGTGTGTGTGTGTGTGTGTGTGTAACTGTCTGTCTATCTACCAGTGTGTGTGACTGCCTGCTTGTGTGTGACTGACTGCCTGTGTGTGTGTGTGACTGACTGCCTGTGTGTGTGTCTGTGTGACTGCCTGCCTGTGTGTGTGACTGCCTGCCTGTGTGTGTGACTGTGTGTGTGTGACTGCCTGTCTGTGTGACTGTCTGACTGCCTGTGTATGCATCTGCCTGACTGCCTGTGTGTGTGACTGTGACTACCTGCCTGTGTGTGAATGTCTGTCTTTGTGTGTGCCTGCCTGCCTGTGTGTGTGTGTCTGACTGTCTGACTGCCTGTGTGTGACTGTCTGTGTGACTGTCTTCCTGCCTGCCTGTGTGTGACTGTCTGTCTGTGTGACTGCCTGCCTGTGTGTGACTGTCTGTCTGTGTGACTGCCTGCCTGTGTGTGACTGTCTGTCTGTGTGACTGCCTGCCTGTGTGTGACTGTGTGTGTGCGTGGGGGGGGCTTGTGTGTGTGTGTGTGACTGCCTTCCTGTGTGCGTGTGTGATTGTCTGCCTGTGTGTGTGAGACTGTCTGTATGACTGCCTGCGTGTTTGTGTGTGTGTGTGTGTGTTTGGGACTGCCTGCCTGTGTGTGTGACTATCTGACTGCCTGTGTGTGTGACTGCCTGCCTGTGTGTGTGTGAGACTGTGTGTGTGTGTGACTGTCTGACTGTGTGTGACTCCAATTGTGTGTGTCACTGTAGCTGTGCCGTTGTGTGTGCCTGTGCCTGTATGTGTGACTGCCTTTAACTGAGTGTGTGTGTGCATGCCTGTAACCAAGTGTGTATGACTGTCTGCTTGTAATGGAGTATGTGTGACTGTCTGCTTGTGACTGTGTGTGACTGTGTGCCTGTAACTGTTTGTGATTGTGTGCCTGTAACTGTGTGTGACTGTCTACCTTTAACTGTGTGTTTGGCTCTGTGACTGTCTGCCTGTAACTGTGTTTTTGACTGTCTGCATGTAACTGTTTGTGTGACGGTCTGCCTGTGCGTGTGACTGTATACAGGCAACGTGGGGGGGGGGCTTTGTGAAGACATTTCGCACAGGGCGTCTAATTGCCTAAGGCTGGCCCTGGGTATGGGCAATGCAAAGGTAAAGTTGCAAGCAACACATATATTATATGCATACATACACATATATAATTATATACATGTAAAGGATTATAACATATGTGGGGAAAAATGTCTATGACATTGTATTCTTATCTGTAACTTTATTATTTGGTAAAAAAAATTTTAAAAGCCCAACCAAACATTTTTGTTTCAAATAACCCCTTCACACTGGCATTTATGTATACACGACCGCCAGGCTATACAACCATACTCCGCAATCGTGTTTAAACAATAGCATAAATGCAAATTGAATTATTTTAATGCAAATTATCCCATAACTACAGTCAGAGAGCTCACAACACAGCATCATGGGGGCCGCGACAATGCAAGCCTCTAAAGTATCCAACGCTGCAATCCCACCATTCAATATATTTACAGCTCCTTATACACACACACGGTAACCCCTATTTCTTTCACTAATGGTGTTAGTAGGGGACTCACGTTTGAGTTTTTCCTAAGGCCTCGTAAAGTCTAGAGCCGCCCTGAACATTATATAGATTATATACAGGTCCACTGTAAATGCCTCTCTGATAACCTGCTCATTAATAGGATTGTGCAAAGGGCAAGAGGCCATCTACTGAGATTAAAAGAAAGTAGATTTCGCCTACATCAAATTATTATTTACAGAAAGAAACATTTCTTTACAGTCAGAAGAGTACAGATGAAGAAGTTTCCATCTCTAAACAATAGCTGCATAGATTTTTGGTAAAAAAAACATGTTGCAGAATATCATAGCTAAATGTGGGGTGGCATCTTGTTGGTGGGGTGGCACTTTGTGTATTGAAGGTAAAATATGGCCACATTTTGGAGATTTGTTCCCCACTGCATTTCAAAATTGTGAAGCTCTTTAAAAAATATTTGAAAGTCAGAAGTTTATTTTAGCCTACATTACTATGGAATTATGTTTCCTGTTTAATGTTCCCATGTACAAATTTCTAGCTACTGAAGTGATATATTTAATATTGTTTACCTTTCCACAGCCTCTTAGTACATATCCCATCTCATGTGCGTTTAAGTTGTAATGTGGCAGCCAAAGTCCATATGGTAGTATTCGAAGAACTCCAAGGCTCAATGAGTCTGGATACTGCGAAAAATGATAGAATTGTATTTTAATTTAAAAAATTTAATTTCAATAAAACTATGAACATTTACTAAAACACTGCTTTTTTAATCATTCTAATTTGAATTCTTGGGAGCCAGTGTGTAATAGATCCTTAAAGAGCAGATGTTTAAGACAACATAGATCATTAATTGACCTTGAATGATTAACAATGCCCTTAAATTAATTTGGTGTGTATATATATATATATAAATATATATATATATTTACTATCCATGCCAGTTACTAAATGGCTTAGTGACATTATATTAGATATCATAGTTGTTTAATAGTTAAGTAGACTAAGCATTTCTAGAACTGAGTATACCTGTGCATATTTCTATTCAAAGCATTATTAACTGTAGAATATTTTATTGTAAAATATTATTATTCAAGAATCAACTGTGACCCAGCTCATCATTCAGGACATCAAAGGGAAAATAGTCTACAGTACAGATTGTACTGTATATGGGTTGTACCCATCTGGGCTCCAGTCCAAGTGATCTGGGTTTGCTTTCTTGTGAACACTAAAAACCAAGTACCAACAAGCAGGGCCTTTAGGCGCCCTGTGTGAAAAATCTTCACGGCTGCCCCCCTCCCCCTCTCCATCATCCATGTATAGTGTGTGTATAGGAGTGTAGTGATTGTATAGGGGATTTATTAAATTAATAATGATTTAAAAACATGTATTAATTCCTTCTTTCCTGTTGTTACCTATTTGGGAGAGGAGCATGCTGATCTGAATCTGGTCTGCCCCTCTACTGAGTGCAGACCATGCGTAACTGTCTCGCATGCTCAGGGACTTGCAGTGTCATGTGGTAATATGCGGAAGTATTCTGATTATCCTGAGCTAGGAAGACAGCTACTTATGGTGTGCGCCCAACAGAAGTGCAGGCCAGAAGTGCCAGACTGCCTCCCCTACATTACAGACTAAGTATGTCACATAATACTGTGAGTGGTTTTGCTTTGGAGCTCTGGATTATACTTATTTACCTTGACCCTTTGGAATATAAATTTGTAGTAATGCACTACTTCTCCATTTATTACAGAGCTCCACAACAATAAAACTCCCAGTAATGTGGAGCTCTGTGGCAAGATCATACACTACACAACACTAGTGTTGATGTCTTCTGTGTATCACGGAGCTCCCTAACTATAAAACACAGAGTAATGTGCATTTCATATACCAGAGCTCCACTGTAATACATCTCACTATTATATGATGTAATGTTTGTGTTGTCTGTGTATGTGATAGATGTGATAATGGTGTGTAATATGTATGCTATGTGTTGGCTGTGTGTGATATTTGTAATGTGTGTATTAACTGTGTGTGATATGCATGTATTGATTGTATGTGATATTTGTGCTGGGTTTATTGTTTGTGTGTGATGGGTATTTAATTCAGATAAAAATATGCATTTAGGCCTATGTGTGAATGCAGGTGTATATTTTTGCAGAGTTATTTGCACACAGTCCCACAGTCAGATGCACACAGTTATACATATGCATTGTCAAAGCCACCACATGCACACAGTTGCAAGCTGATTATCACATACACAGGATCAGGCAGAAACACGCAGGTACAGGCAGTAACACACATGTACAGTTACAGGCAGGTAAACACACTCACACACAATTACAGGCAGACAGCCACACACAGCCACACATACAGTCTTACACACACATACTTACATGCAACAGTACCACACACATACACACAGGCAGACAGCCACACACACACACAGAGGCAGTCACACACAGACAGTCACACACATACACACAGGCAGACAGCCACACACACAGAGGCAGACAGCCATACACACACAAGAAGACATCCACACACACAGAGGCAGGCAGTCTCACACACACACACACACACAGGCAGTCTCACACACACACACACATGCAGGCAGTCACACACAGGCATCCAGTCATGCACACACACACACAGGCAGACAGTCACGCACACACACACACACAGGCAGACAGTCACATAGACACACACAGACAGACAGTAACACACACACACGCAGGCAGACAATCACACATAGTTACCTGTTCCTTATGGAGAAGTGGAGGCAGTACAGCTCCTGGAGACTGGTTGTTGGGGAAGCAGGGACTCCTTCCTTCTTCCCCTGCAGCAGTTTCCCCTCACTTTTAGCTTTGGCCCCGCAGTCAGTTTAGCTCCGCCCAACCACACAGGAAGCCCAGCCCCGCCGCATGATGAGCCACGACCCCGCCGCAATATTGGGATGGTTTTTTTTGGTTGTTTTTTTATGCAGGCTGGCCATGTGTGAGCTGTGTGGGCCGGATGGCGCACCCTGCTCAACAAGGTATCCTGTGCAGCCGCACAGCTTGAACACCCCTAATTCCAGCCCTGCCAATAAGGTACAGTGTGAGAGTATCATTAGACATATTTGTGCCACACAATTTGTAACCCAGAACTTCCAATATTGAGTTAGGGTTTAAACAACTAAATTTTAAGTATGCTTATTCAATATTGAATCAGAGTAATACTGAATAAGAGGGAAGCATTAATGTCCTGGAATAAAAAAACAAACACAACTCTATTGTACAAGAGCCAAACACTTGTGAACAAATTAGAAATGCTGAAATAATGAAACTGAGGGCAAGTAATTAGAATATGCAGAATGATATCGGTACAGAATAATACAATGCCATTGTGAACTTGCACTCACAATGTGGACATATTTTGGGCAACAAAAGAGGACCAGAGGACATAACTATAGCTGTAGTGCTTTCTAAATACCTGCAGTTATATGCCACTTTTGGCATTTAGAGAGGGTGAAAGGCATTCTCTGAAACATACATCTGGATACTCCCAGATCAATGATGAACCCTGGTGGTCTACACTCTTTAGGTGATCTGCAGATCTATTATTCAAGATAGTTTAGAGTCACTCTGAAATGTTATTTAGAAAAGCATTGATAGCCATAGGTTTGGGTTTACTGTGTATTGGAAGAAGTGCATTAACTAGGAGCTTTATGGTATAGCAGTAGACCTCATAGTACACTGTACATGAAGAAGCTTGCCGGGTACAATACACTATGGAGGTAAGACATTCAGTAAACAACTGCGTTTTGGTATGGCGTCAAGAAACAAAAAAACAGGAGATACCCCAATTTGTGTTAGTGAAAAGAGGTTAGTTTCAGTACATACTGGGTAATGGAGCTTCTAAAAAATATCAAATTCATTCTATTTTATTGTAATATACACAATAAAAGCATGAAAAGGATTACAATAAATGTACATACTGTAATTTCTTCATGAAAAATGTGTAACAACAAGTAAAAACATTATTAAAAGCATTTACCGAGAATACAGAATTGCCATAGACAATCGCATTTTCTATCAGTCCTGTAGTATTTTGGTAGAAACCTGCCCAGGCCGTCTCTGCTCTATTGTAAACCAGTTTTCTTGCACCTGTACAATTAAAATGTATATAAATAAATGTCAGTATATTATGAATCTGGCATAACACCAAAAAAACAAGATATGCAACAGATTTTATATTCAGGGATAAGAATCTTGCTAATTGCCAGAAATAGATTTTTTTTTATTTTATAATTTCATTTTTTATTTTAATTTCATACAATAACATAAGCACAACAGCACACAATTATATTTAGCTGCCGCTATACTTATAAAATATATAACCCCTTTCTTTCAAAGAGCCACTAAATCTTTTTGTAATTCCTTTTTAAACACCTTTGCTAGACACAAATGTTCTGAACAAATTGTTTTCAGAATCAAGATAAAATGGCATATGTTTTCCATTTATCGCATGTACCAGAAACTTGACGTAGTGAGAAACACTTGCTGTGTATAATCATAAGGTCTGCAAAACTAATAGTGCTCTCCCAGGCAAGTATTACTCTTGAGATGACCAGGCAAACTGGGTGGGATTAAGACTTGCCTGAGATTGCATCATGATTGGTTGGCTTTGCACAGTCTACTGAAGGCCTTTCAAGCTATTCTCTTCAAGAGTTATTCATTAGCCCATGAGCCAATAGACAAGTATGAAGACCATGGATTAATTTAATTTTAGATATTTTTTCTTGCAATCAGTATTTTTTATTTTATTACAGTTTGTGGTGGGTTATTTTAGCTTGTATTTTGGCTTTTATCAATAATTCATTGGTATGTATCTTTGTTTTATTTTTATTAGTATATTGACTCTAATAGTTGTTAGAATGAGAATGTATGTAGAATAAATACTATGGGTTGCTGCTGTTTAGTAGATCTAGGACTACTATTCTTCGAGGAGGGGGATCTAAAGGTCTCAGGCCAGGGGTTTAAGCATCAACAGGTCCTATATGGGAGGTCGGGTTCAATAAAGAGAAATTTATGTGGCCAAAAGGATTATGAACCCTCTGACTTTATAGCTATAGGACCAGTGAATCCTCCACTTATTCATTGGTTTAAAAATAACACCAGCTCAAGAATGGCCATACCTAGTTCAGTCTTATTTTTTGTATTATCCATCATTCAGGCAACATATTTTTTACTTAGAATTTGCTATGTGTATGTTTTATGTTTACATGTTTTAGCAGCATACAGAGCACAACATACAAGATTCCAAACAGGAACACTAGAAAACCTTTCTACTGGAACTAAAGTACATAAACCCATTTATTTTATTATATGGATGGACAAAAGACGGGGATGTTGGACAGCCAGAGCAGAAATCCCTAATTAATCTTGGACAATATTAGTCCTAACTCAGAGACATATGGATAAAGCAGTAAAGGAAGTCTTAAGGGTGTTTTAATCATACCTTCAAGATCATAAAAATACTTCCAGACCAATGTAATGTCTGACTGAGGGTACTGGCGTGTGATGGAATCAGTGGGGTTTGATGGAAGATTTAATACTATGCTTTGATTGCGTCGTTCGAAGCTCCTGATAAAATCAACCCCGCCTTCTGGCTGCAGAAAAGGAGAACCATATTTCAGTAACATACACTCAGTATTTACTAGTGAGGATTTAAAGTGAATTCAAAATTGATTTCAAATGTAAGGCCAGAGTAGCTGCATGGAAAGCATACCTGGCTTAGAGAATGATTCCATTTGACCTTTAATTTGAAATTCACTTTGAATTTAATGAATAAACCTGTAAACGTATCAAAAAACGATTTACTCACAATCTGTTCTCAGAAGTAGAAACTCGTCTACATATTATTTAAATTTGTTCACTTTCTATGGTAAGGTTTTAAAACAAAGTTAGTTGTTCAGCCGATTGAAGAGGAAAGCCATGCTCTCGCGGATAGGCAACCTTCGACACTCCAAATGTTATGGACTACATCTCCTCTGATGCACTGCCAGCATTATAGCATTATGGGAGATGTAGTTCACAATATTTGCGTGTCGAAGACCACCTAACTCTAGAGAGTGTTTTTCAGAACACTTCCTGAACCCTGTATATCTGTTCAACAGAATACTGATGCAATATTGATACAAGCCGCTGTCCTGAAAAAACGATGCATAGAACTCACACATTAGTGGGCATTATGAAAAGAAAAGTTTCTGCACCAATGATAATGTCTTTAACGACTTTCTTTTCCTATTTCTTACAGACAGTGGCTACTTTTTGTGATTTTACTTAGTGTTGTCTAGTATGTAAGTACCTCTAGAAAATTACATTTTAAGATTTCCTGTTTTAAAACTACTGGTGTAAAGGTAAATCTGCTTTTAAACATGGATGTTACATAGCAGTATTTTTGATAGCTCTAAACATTTTGAGAGTGTATTTTTGTGTAATTTAGTAACTATACAGTGAAACGTCTAATAATTAATTGTCAAAAACTGCTCCTTATTGCTAATGCAATTTGTCTATGTGAGATTTATACTGCTATTCCCCTTAGCATAATAACTAAATCTGTGATTTTAATAACTGATGCCCCTAACTTTGGTAACCAACTTGTTTGCCTTTCATTGTTGCATTTACTGATGTAATAAATTATAATTTGTCAAATCTCTACTTCTGCGCTAAAATATATAATTAAATGAAAATTGATTTATCAATCTTTAATAAAGGGGCACTTTAGGCACCGTGATAACTTCAATCCTCTGTAGTGGGCATGGAACATGTGTAGAGGTATTCACTAAACGGAGAATTCAAAGGGTATTTTATATTTAAGGTCAATATAGCCAAACTGGAACCATTCTCTAAGTCACCCTGCAATACTATCACCGGCCAGTAGGGGTCACTTTGTGTGGAGAGAGGCAGGGATAGGAAGTTACAGCATATCCTTCCCTGCCTCTCTCTACTACTCACTGATCTGTGGGGGAGAAGCCAGACAGCAGCTCTACAGCTCAGGTAAGTAAGGAATGGGGGAAACATGGGAGACATGGAGACATGGGGACACTGAGACACACAGGGACACAGACACCAGGGGACACTGGGAGACCTGGGGACACTGAGATACTTGGGGACACTGGAAAACATGGGGACACTGAGACACTAGGGGACACTGTGAGACATGGGGACGCTGAGACACATGGGGACGCTGTGAGACATAGGGACATTGGGAGACACTGAGATATTGGGACACGGAGACACTAGGCACACAGTGTCTCCATGTCTCCCAGTGTCCCCATGTCCCCCAGCCAGTGTCCCTAGTGGCTCAGTGTCCCCATGGCTCCCAGTTTCCATTAGTGTCCCAGTGTCTGTGTCCCCATGTCTCTCAGTGTCCCTAGTGACTCAGAGTCCCCATGTCCCCATGTCTCCCAGCCAGTGTCCAGAGTCCCCATGTCCCCATGTCTCCCAGCCAGTGTCCTGAGTGTCCCCATGTCTCTGTGTCCCCAAGTCTCCCAGTGTCTGTGTCCCTATGTCTCTCAGTATCCCCATGTCTTCCAGTGTCCCCAAATGTCTGTGTCCCCATGTCTCCCAGTGTCCCTATGTCTATGTCCACAAGTGTCCCCATGTCTCCCAGTGTCCCCAAGTATTTGTCTCCCGGCCAGTGTCCCTAGTGTCTCAGTGTCCCCTAGTCTCCCAGTGTCCCTAGTGTCTTAGTTTCCCCAAATGTTTCAGTGTCCCCATGTCTCCCAGTGTCTGTGTCTCCATGTCTCTGTGTCCCTAGTGTCTCAGTGTCCCCATTTCTCACAGTGTCCACAAATGTCTCAGTGCCCCCATGCTCCCAGTGTCTTCATGATTCCCTAGTATCCCCATGTCTGTATTCACAAGTGCCCCCATGTCTCCCAGTGTTCCCAATTGTCTCAGTGCCCCATGTCTCCCAGTGTCCCCGGGTCTCTCAGTGCCCCCATGTCTCACTGTGTCCCCTAGTATCCTAGTGACATGGGGACATACTGAGACATGGGGACACTGGGAGAAATGGGGACACTGAGACACTGGGAAACTAGGTGACTGGGCGACATGGGGACACTGACACTGTGATACACTGAGACACTGGGTGACTTGCGAGACTGGGAGACAGGGAAAAACTGGGAGCAATTCATCTATAGAGCAGAATCAAACTGTGAGTAGTTTGTTGGTGATTTTACATAATTTTCTCTTATGTCACTCCTTGTGATTTACATCATGTGATGTTACGCATAACTAATTAATTATACAAATGATTAAGGCTGGTGTTTTTTTTTCAAGAAAGGTGGCAACCCTAACTACTCTTCACATACTCTTGCTTAAAGGAACACTATAGGGTCAGGAACACAATCATGAATTTTTGGCACCTCTTGCCTCCCTAAATATAGTAAAATCTTACTTGTATTCTGTAGTCTGCAGATGCTGGCTCTGCCTCTGAACTGACTCTGTCTGCTGACATCATCAGAGGTGGTGGTCTGAGCAAATTATAATTCTTCCCCGTAGGATTGGCTGAGACTGTCAACTAGGTAGATCAGGGGCAGAGCCAGCACAAGTCAAACATAGCCCTGACCAATCAGCATCTCCTCATAAAGATAAATTGAATCAAAGCATCTCTATGAAGAAAGTTCAGTGTCTGCATGCAAAGGGTGGAGACACTGAATGACAGTGCTGCACACTAGGCAGTACTGCCCCAGGAAGCACCTCTAGCAGTCATCTAAGGAGTTGCCAGTGGAGTTATTTTCTCTGAAAAGACAGTGTTTACTGCAAAAAGCCTGAAGGGAATGATTCTTCTTACCAGAACAAATACAATAAGCTGTAGTTGTTCTGGCATTTATGTCAAGCTCAGGGTGCTGCCTGCATAGTATGCTCTTAGTTGGACATCATGCATGATTGGCAGGCAGCCTGACATGCATTTGTGCCAGGCTGGCCTTCCAATTCTTTGGACAGACATGCCCCCTTTTTGGGCATGTTCACCCCGTTTGGCAGGTCTTGTCACGTGATTCGCATCAGTGGCACACCCTTTTACCCAGCCCATTTACTTCCTGCTTCACTGGACACTGCTGTTAGGGGTTATGGATTTACTTGAAAGATGAAAGCATGAATTAGATAAAGAGATTAGTATAAAGTATGTGTTTTTGTATAGCTGCATCCTTTGAGTTTCCCTCCAACACCATCTCCATCAGATACATGACGCTTGGGAGGTATGGTTGTTTAAGTGTTTTTGGTCGATAAGATTCTTTAATTAGGCCCATCATAATTGTCAGCACCAGGCCCACTGGGCTCTTAATCTGGCCCTGTTAACATGTAGTGTCCATGGGTTAAACCATGAAGCTGAGTCGCTTAAATAAGCCATAGTTATCCCATCGGATGTTATTAGATATTGTTTGGCTTGTTTGAGTATGGCTGTGCCAGCTTTTACAAAGAGGCTTAAAAACATTCTATTACACTACAAATGTCTGCAAATGTATCCAAAATATTGTGTCATTGTTGAAGGTCTATGTCAGGGGTAGGCAGCCTTCAGCACAACAGATGTTGTGGACTACATCTCCCATAATTCTCTTACAGCTATAATGCTGACAAAGAGTCATGGGAGATGTAGTCTAAAACATCTGGAGTGCCTAAGGTTGCCTACCCCAGTCTATGCAATGCATTCTTTACACCTCGTTACCTCGTTGCTGGAGTTTTATAACAATAGTAATAACAGGTGAAACATTTTCTTTAAGGATAAATGGTAGCCTACGAATTGTAAGTTTCTAAGTATCAACATGTTCGAATGTAGGTTTATTAGGTTGCAGTGACTGCGGGAGGATTGCATCCACTTACTATTTGCTCTATATTCACTATAATGAACTGTAGTGGTTATGGTGTTTATATTAGTACTTTAAGCATAGGGTGCCGTGACTCCTCTAAAGTTTTTAAAATGATCAAATGTTAATAAATCTCTAATTTTATTTTTGTCAGTAGCCTCTGCACATTTGCTCCATCCGCTTTCTGTGTACCCCCATTGATACCTAATTGTGTTTGCTGCAGGTGTGGAGTATCTGATATATATTTATGCATTTTGTGCACTGCAAATCCTAATAAGACTTTTTAGCCCAAACTCTTTATTTTTTTACTATAAATATCATCAGATATCAAAATATAAAATAATTTCTTAATTTACCTGCAGTGTCCTTGTCAATATATCTTCAGGTGTCAATGAAAACACAAAATCAATCTCATCTGTAAAAAATTCTTCATGAGTGGAAAAATACAGAACCACAACTGCCTCTGCATCCCCAATATTCTTTATCCAATGAATGTTATTTCTAGGAATGAAGAAAATCTGTCCACAAGTCACATTGTATGTTACAGCCGGTTTGCCATTTTCATCGATAATTCCAATCCATATTGTCCCCTTTAATGAAAGGAAAAGAAATTCCATTTTGTGATTAATTGCTATATCGTTAATCGAAAATATATTTTTATTAAAGTGGGTTGAAAATTTGCAATGACAAAGCACAATTTTAAGAAGCAGCAAACAGTGGAAAATGTCACCAGCAGATTAATAGTCAAATACTATAAAATGTATTCAGTTCACAGTTAAAGAATAATGTGTTTCTTGTAGCGCATGCACTTACACGTTGGCCGATTGCATCATGCAAGCACATAACGTATATTGTATTGCTCTAGCAGAGGCATAATTTATATTTCATCTCAATATAGCCAACAGGGAGAAGCTTGCAAATATCAGCCTGGGTGAGTCCGGTAGACTTAACACAACAGCCTGTGAACAATGTTCCCTAATTAAACATTTCAGATTCACATCCTAACTGAGTCTGACTCGCTCAATATGCACTGAAACTACATACAAAACTTAAGGTAGGAATTTAAACTTGTTCGCCAAGTGTGCTTTCTTTTCTAACAAATAGTGAGTGTTACAAAATAAATAAATACAAATGGTCACATATATATTTGCAAAGACCCTCTAGGTATTATTAGCAGTGCACCTTATTGACAATGGCCACAGAATGTAAACATAATGTATGCATTTATGCATTATGGGAATATACAGCAAATACAGTTGAATCATATATTTCTAAAATAAAGGTATTCAAAACTACTATAGCAATCTTTATCAAACTCTGGAAAGCTAGTGTAACACGAACAGTGAAATGGTACAGTCCATTTACTCCTTTCACCTCCCTGAGTGCAGGAATGCTTTGACTCACTGAAACTTCCTTTGCTGTTAGGAAGCCAGGGGTAAGCTTACATTTTCATCAAAGTTGCAGGTATTATATCAGTAATTAATGTCTTCTGTCAGAAAAATGTGTTCCTCTACAAGCTGTTAATCATAAATAGAATATAAATGACAGTGAGGCTTTATGGATTGTTTTATACTGCAAAAATACATGAAAACTACATTTTGGTAGTGATGGGTTCAAAGACAAACTGTCATTTGAGAAATGTGATCATGCAAAATATGTTTTCTTTAGATCGCACTATTTCCCATTTTTTTAAGGGACATGTTTTGCCAGACACACAATGTGAAATAATTTAACCCAAGCTGTGCGTAAAGGACTACCTGAGTGTCCATGTCTGTATGCAGATTATGTGTAGAGGCATCATGTTGTGACAAAATCTCCCACAATGTAGGAATGCAGAGGAAGTTAGAATATTTTTGCAGTAACATTTACAGGGGTAACTGAAACAAAAACTATCACTTCAAGAGAAGTGACAGTTCTGCTTCAAACAATGTGTCAGTGCAGAAATACAGTCAACCCATAGTCCCACGATATACTCCGATCTTTTAAACTAAGCAGAGATGTTACAGGAACTAATTATTTATATTAAAAACTGTGAATACAAGAATTTAAATATAGTTGGTTAATACTTAGACGTATACTTCATCAATAAGACACCTTTTCATTCCTAACAAATGATGCCTATATTTTAGTTATGTTTAAATAAGATTTAATATGATTTATGTTGGTTCTTCACTGTACCTTAGTCACAAACCCATGGATATTTGCCTGTAAATTCCAATTAGGTATTCTCAAGCCTCCCACTTTGATGTACAAAAGGCAGATAGACATTTTTGACCGGTTCTCATTGATGCTGGTCGCAAATGCTCTTTCTTCTTCACTTAGGTAATTACTTCCATTACTTCGATACCGCACACACTGCAGGCCTCCCCCTTCATATTGTCCTATCTGGGTACAAAAGAATAAAATGCTCAAATGTATCTGGAAATGAAAGGGCACCTGTGTAACTTATCTATTTCCATGGAGTTGTACTGTTGGAAACTTTCCCATTTTACTTTCCTGTTTAGTGAGTCACTCTAGGTTTTGTAACAACATTGTATCGTTGCAAAGAATATAGTGCGGAGAGTATTTCCGATGCATAAGTCCTGTCTAGAGCAGCCTGCAACTAAAGTGTCTACAAATTGCTGCAGCTTTAAGACTCTCTACTGGATCAGTGAAGTCAAAGAAGGAATTTGAATTCCTCTTTTGCCAAAGATCTGTCTAAGGTATGCTTTTAGCTTCTCTTCCATTCTCTCTTTCTTTCTCACTCTTTCTTTATCTTTCTTTCTTTCTCTCTCTCTCTCTTTCTCTCTTTCTCGCTCTTTCTCTCTTTTGCTCTCTGTCTCTGTCTTTCTCTTTCACACTTTGTCTCTCACTTTCTTTTTTTGAACTTTCACTTGCTATCAATTTTTGCACTTTCTCTCTTTTCAAAAACCTAACCTAAAATATGAAAATATCTCATCTATATTACTTCTGAAAATACTCTAAAGTTATTGTATAAATTGCACAATTTTTAACTGAGAAAGACATGCATTGTACCTGTAATTTTCCAAGCTGAATAAAGTATTGATATATGGTGGGTACATCTGGTGGGGGTCTCTGGGTGGTAGTAGGTTGTGAATTTCCTGTGTTTGATGAAACAGCTAAAATAATTGCTGCTATAGCAATTCCTATAACTGTGGCTATAGCACAAGCCGTGATAGAAATAATCAATGCTTTGCAGCAACACCAGTATCTTCCCACCTGCAATACAATAAAAACAATGTCCATTGTAGAGATCTAGCAATAATGTAATATATATATATTAACACCAAAAATATTTCTGATTATATGTTTTCTCATTAACTACTCTACTTTGCCTTTTGTGTCTATTATTTTTGTGCCTCATTATTTTGGGATACATTGTGTGAATTTAGACAACATACATGGCTCACAATGCTTTTCTATGTATGCTCTGTGTAAGTGGTTATTTAAATGTGTAATGTGATATTGCTGGATATAATGATATTGTGAGAGCCCTGACTGCGAACCAATTGCTGCAATCCAGATTGGTTGTAACCTTCCATTAGATGAATCACGAATGGTAAACAATTGTATAAAAATCTTACTAACATTTATTGAGATATAATTCCATAATTATGGTTTCATTTTTTACCACTTACATTTCTCGGGTCCTCAACTTCCTGATGCCTCGGACGCCAAGTGAACTAATAAAACAAAATACAATGATTAACTGGCTTTGCACTTTTTGGATTACTATTTAAAGTAATTGCAATTCATACATTTAATAGTTCTTCATTTTCCCCTTGCAATGTATCAATCGATTGAAATCTCTGATCTATTTTGATTGATGTGGGTGTGATCATCAAGAATGATCAGTATTAAATTGTACTGTAAGAACTGGTTTTGTAATACTTAACTGGAAAAATCTGAGGGGTAAAAAAAAAGCAAAAAATTAAGAGAAAAATAAAACAAAGAAAAAAACACTAATGAGTAAAAGTAGCAATTCAGGAAAGTCTAAGACATTTATCTAGACAAAAACGTTCTCCCTTGCTCTAAATTGATGTGGTCTTCCATCTGTACTTTATATCTAACGTCTTAAATTGTTTAGTGATGATATAAAAAATAAAAAAGTAAAACAAACGAAAACAAAGTAAAAGATACTCCATACAAAAAGAAAAGAGAGAAACAAATAAGAAGGTTTCCCCACCTAGTTTATTACAAAATTGGAATTTTTTGCCAACTTTTGAAGCAAAAACAAATGTTAGAAAGTCTGAACTTGTTGGACACAAGTCTGTGTTCAGCCTATGTGAATATTTAAATATGTAAAAGAAAATCAATAATCTACCGTTTGAGTGATGAAGTGGGATGGGAAATTCATTCATAATTTCTACAAATTATTGTTCATTTTAATGCCCAATGTTACATAATATTATAGATTATTATTATTATTTAAATAGCATCAACAAATTCCATAGCGCTGTACAATGGGTGGACTAACAAACATGTAATTGTGACCAGACAAATTGGACGCAGAGTATCAGAGAGTTTGAGGGCTCTGCTCAATGATCTTACCTGCTAGAGGGAGTGGGGTATAGTGACACAAAAGGTAGGAGTAGAGAAGCAGATTGGTAGAATATTATTCACTGACGACTTTCATTTTTTTTATTTTTAATGACAGGTGCATAAGATGAATCAATTGGGGGCTATTAACGGTTTAATTGATATGCTTTCATTAAGAAGAACATTTTTAATTATTATAGACTGTAACGGGTACGTTGAAAGCACAGATTGAAAAACTTAAGAAAAATCAATATATGTCTTAATTGTCTTCAACACAATAAACGTTATTAAACAAAATATGAACACAAGTTCCATTTTATATTACACAAGTGCATCATTTAATTTAAATTTTTCTAAACTATGACTGGAAAAGAACTTCACAATGTGTCACTGTATGACAATGCACCACTGCCTGTCTCTTAACTAGAAGTACAAGGGTGTAAAAGGTGAGTATAAATGTCTGTGGAATATCTACTATAAGAAATAAGATTAAATTATCAGAAAGAAAGCGGTGGATACAATATGTGCCGTCATGTGTAAAGTTATAATGATGCAGAATTTAAATTAAAGTAGAAATTCTTATGGATAAAATTAGTGGCATGGTACCCTTGTTCCACGATGCACACAATGCGGCTCAATTCCGACTGATGGAAAGTTCTTTTGTGTTGAATGGGACTGGAATAGGCCATGAGATGTGAAAAATGTTTTTACTGACTTTTTTACTACTCCTTGTTCCTACTATAAAATCGAGCTTTGTAAGACTGCACTTAAACATGAACGTTTTTATGTTGCTCTATTTAAATAACGTTTATTTTCATTTAAAACAACAAATAAAAGGAATGTGTAATATATTGAAAATGTTTACATAAGCATCAAAAAGGGACATTAAGGCAAGTTTGTAGGCAAAGATGAGAGCAACATGTAAAAGACTGATCACTTTAAGAAGAATATTGCATTAAACAGTCCAGTGGGACTCTGCGGATATTTGGACTAAATGCACAAATGGAAGGAGGGATAGAGATGGGACAAGTTAGTTTATTATGAGATTGAATGATTCATATAGTGTCTAAGAAAAAGACTAATAATAATAGAAGTGTATTAGTGAAGTCACGATTGGAAAATGTTTGCATGGACAGGTAGTAAAACAAGTTTAATCTGCTTACATTTAAAAGGACCAAATTAATTTTCAATACATTGTACACAACAATAACCGCCACATATACACAATACCCACCACATATACACAATACCCACCACATATACAAAACTGTATACACCATCAGAATAATGGTATTATAGGATAGTCCGGGGTATTACTCCATTTATTCACTAAACACTCAATTAAGATGCATTGTTAAGTGAATTTAGATTATTTTTATCACTCTGATTATTATTATTAATCATATTTGTGTGATCTCCAGTTCAAAATATGTAAAAATTCCTGAGCAAGTGAAAGGAGGTAATTTTACCATAGGTTTGAAGATACCTTCACTGACAGATTTTAAGTGATTTTGTAAACAATAAGTATGTTTTTTATTTATTTATTTTTTAGTTCTGCATTTCTATATGCATTTATCAGCATATTTCATTTTACTTTGCTTTTCTAATCAGATTACAAACTTAACATGTGATCAAAGGCTTAAAAAATGAACTCGGTTTGCTGAAATTGATGAAAAAAAAAAGTGACTTAAAAGACAAATAAAATAGAAAGAATAATTGGTGAATAATTTGATTTTTTTTCTCTAGCAAGATCTGTCAGATATGGTGTTTGTTTTTCTTATATAGTACTTACATGACTTTTACATGTTTATTTTTAATGGTTTTTGTAGAGAACATTGTGTTTATTAATATGTCAATCTTTTTTAACTAGAGAAGTATTCCATTATCGGGGGTTCTTTTACACTGTTTGTTTCTCCAATGTTTCAAGCTAGTTGAACATAACACAAAACTCTGTCTAAATATAAAAAGAAGAAAACTTTTTCTAGAGAATAATACATTGGAACAGATTATGATCCAGGGAAGTTTCATTAATTCCCTCCTTTGTCTCAAGCTAAAACTTTCCTGACAGGTTCTAACTGTCTGATGAAGCCCCCCATTGTCTTAATCGGGGTGTTCTTTAAGCTATTTAGGTTACAGAGTCTCCCCTTTTGTCATGGCATAATGCTTCTAGATCCAGGAGAGTCTCCCTATTGCACCTCTGATCCTCTGTTTGTGAAGTCACCATTATTGGCGACATGTTTAATCAATTGTTTCCCACAGTTATTAAAAGGGTGATATATTAAAGTGCCACTTCCTCTTTAATTGATACTTTAAAAAAAAAAAAAGGTTGGCAGGAATATAGAGTTAACCCCTAAATCACTTCAGGTTTAAAGAATATGTATATAATTTACCATTCTGATACATTATGTGTTTCATTGCTTTCTGAGTCAAATACATACTCCCACTCCAACACCTTATGAAATAGTAGAAAGCAATATTGTCAAAATTCAAATATTAAAACCAATAATAGACTCAACCAAATGCCTATCCACCTTTTACAGACTACTGCAACACGACCCCGAAGATAACTTAACTGCCTTTGCATCCTCTTGGGCTCAAGAGCTACACATTACACTTACATCTGGGGACTGGTAGAGGATGTTCACATACGCATACAAATCCTCTATCAGCAATAACATACAAGAGAGAATTTCTAGATGGCACTATTCCCCAGCCAAATTACACAACATGTTCCTTCCTCCCCCGACAAATGTCAGGAGGCACATCAGCCCACATGTGGTGGACCTGCTCGACCATCCAACAGTATTGGAAGAAATAGTTTGTCACTGCAATAATAGGCTTCCACATACCTTATACTCTAGAGACGTTGATATTCCTATTACACCATCATCCGCTCCCCAAACCGCAACACACGCTCATAAATCACTTGATAACAGCCGCAAACATGCTAATACTAACTAAATGGAGAAGTTGAGTCGCACCCTCTATCAGGGAATGGATAACAAGGGTAGACTCGATCAGAACAATGGAAGAAATACATATCGCTTTCTTTTTATATATATAGTAAACATATTTTACTAAGAAAATGTTTTTTACTTTTTTTTTTATTCACAGTTTTTGCGAATAATAATTCTAGTGCAACAAATGCACATAACGGTAAACCTTAACTAACCTTACCATTTAAATCAATCCTAACCCCAGGGAGAGCATTAACTAACCCTGATACTATATCTAATCCTTATACCAATGCTTGGGTTATCTAAACCAAACACTAATAATAATAATAATAATACGTAAACTAACCATAATATTTAAACTAAACTTTACCATGGGGTTATGATTAGCTATTCTTAATGCTAACCCTAAATTTATAATTATTTAACCCTAACTGTAGGGATAGCATATCCTAATGCTAACCCCTAGGGCTAGAGTTTGCAATATGGAAAGTGTGGATGGGGTCTAAAAGTATTCTCCTGCTCCCGTAATGATCAGAGACCTGGCATCACAATCAGTCAGCACAGTAATGCCCCCCACGGTGGTCCTGGCACTATTCACTACTGGCTTTGTGTCTTCCCTGGTTTAGGGAGAGCAAAGTAAGCTGACTACATGATCCTTCTGAGGCCCATGACCCTTAAAGCCCACTTTTTCAACCACATAATGGACATGTGGTTGGCACTCTCTCTCTTTAATGTAAGTAAGTGATGTAAGTAAAACACAATATTAAAAATCCTTGGGTGTTTCCCTTTAAACAGAACTTAACCCCTTAAGGTCACATGACAGAAATATCCTGTCATGATTCCCTTTTATTTCAGAAGCTGTGTCCTTAAGGGGTTAATTTGTTCTATCATAGAAGTCTGCCAGAATGCTTGGTTGTACAGGGAGAGGTATTAGCAGTAGAAAGAGGGAAGTGCTCATGCCATTGTACAGAACACTGGTGACACCTCACTTGGAGTATTGTACGCAGTACTGGATACTGTATCTCCAGAAGGATATTGACACTTTAGAGAGAGTTCAGAGAAGGGCTACTAAACTGGTTCATGGATTGCAGGATAAAACTTACCAAGAAAGGTTAAAGGAACTTAACATATATAGCTTGGAGGAAAGACGAGACAGGGGGGATATGATAGAAACATTTAAAATTATAAAGGGAACCAACACAGTAAAGGAGGAAATTATATTTAAAAGAAGAAAAACTACCACAACAAGAGGACATAATCTTCAATTAGAGGAGCAAAGGTCTAAAAATAATATCAGGAAGTATTACTTTATTGAGATGGTAGTGGATGCATGGAATAGCCTTCCAGCTGAAGTGGAAGAGGTTAACACAGTGAAGGAGTTTAAGCATGCGTGGGATAGGCATAAGGCTATCCTAACTATATGATAAGGCCAGGGACTAATGAAAGTATTTAGAAAATTGGGCAGACTAGATGGGCCGAATGGTTATCTGCCATCATATTCTATGTTTCTATGTTTCCAGATTGTGTACATGAATACAGTGATACAAAATGTAATGTTTGAATGACTCCTTTGTGACTTTGTATCACACCAGGTCAATTTCCAATTTAACGTTATTGACAAAAACGTAAAATGTGAATACATATAATGAAAGTAAAACAGCCATTTGTTGTAACTTGAGAACCAACTTTTTATCCTAAAACAGCAAATCGAAAAATGTAAACTAATCCATATGATAATTTATAATAATAAATGAAAATTTCAGCCAAAATTTTCCAGCCTCGTTTCGAAGTCACTTTCTGTTAATGGAATAGACCTCATTGAGTTAAAACAAGAATATCTATTTCCTTCATATATCATTTCTAGCTATTATCAAAATAATGCTATTTTATAACACCATCAATATGCAGCTACAGATTTTGATATTAAAATTAACAAATACATTGTGTAACAAAACCTTTAAAAATAACTCTACAATTGATTTAATACAGTAACAGTGACAATTATATTTTAAAATATTGTAATATATCTCACAATGTAATATTTTGTGTACTCACCCTGTTACAAAAGCATGTGCTTGCCATCCTTGCCAACCTTTGTTTTAAGCCAAACACAAAACTGCATCTGTTATCCTGCTCCAGATATGTTATGTGTGTACATGGATGCACGAGACATTTATTAAATATGGAACTGAAATGACTAAGGTTTGCACTGTCAATAATAAGAAATTTATTAATTGATCATTTAATTGATATGTGCATTGTACAGCAAAGAATTTAGGGAACCTCTTTCCTCTTGTTTTTAATCCAATGTTTCTGTCTGAAGACTTTATTTTCTTATGAAATACCCCTAAGTTGATATGATATAAAAACTAAAAAATATAATAGCATTTTATTGATCCTTCCACCAATAGATAATCACATAAATATTGGATATATATTATTATTTAAAAAGTGCCAACAAAATTCACAGTGCTGTACAAAGGGTGGACTATTTGAAACAAGATGTTTTGGAACCACAGGAACAGAGGAAGTTGAGGAGACAACGTATGAATAAGATGTGATAGAATAGGATCTTGGAACAGGTGGTGTGGCAGGGGGGCTGAAGCAGAGTAGAAATCTTTTCTGGCATTGCTTGTGCGAGTGAGCATAAAGCAGAGAAAGGAGTGTGGGTGTGGGAAGTATTGGTAGGGATAAGAGAGATTAAAGATCTCTTCCCTGATCAAGAAAAACTTGTATTAAATATATATACATACATACATTTAATCAACACCAATAAAACCTCTGTGTTTTATGGTGAATATTGGCTCATAGTTTGCTAAATTTTAATCTCCCTAAATTTCCCAGTTTGAGAACCTTGATGATTTTAAAACACACTGTGTTCATTGTGTTACATTTGCGTTACTTTTGTATATATCATTGTGACCACCTCCCAATACATTTTTTGACTCCTCCTCCAGATGACTTTGGTTATTTCACTCAATGACCTCAATGCAATTTACTCAATCCATTTCAGTACCTTTTTCACATTTCAGAAGACCAGGGTTCGAATGGGAATGGCGTTCCTGCACTTTTTTTAGAGCAGAAATGCCGTTCCGGTTTGTGGTCCTACAGACACTCAGGGGGCGGCAAAAAATGCTGCCCCCAAATGTCATGGAGGGGCCCAAGAGGTGGCCTGTCTCGCTTGTCATGTCCTCTCTGCTCTGCTCCCTCACGCGCCATTTGCTGATCAGTAGACAACCCACGCGGCGAGAGGGAGCAGAGAGGACACAGCTCCCTCGCCGCATCTGACAGCGAGACAGACGCTCGCCGCACTGCAGCCCCACTGGACCCCAGGGACAGGTCCACACCAGCTCTCCAGGCATGGAGGCTGGGTGGACATTTTTAAAATTTGAAAAAGATATGAATAATTTGTGTGTATGTGTGTATGTCTGAGTGTGTGTGTCTGTGACTGTATGTGTGTCTGTCTGTGCGTGTGTGTCTGTGAGTGCATGTGTGTGTGTCTGTGAATGTGTCTGTGTGTGTGTCTGTGAGTGTGTGTGTGTGTGTCTGAGTGTATGTCTGTGAGTGTGTGTTTTTATGTGTGTATGTCTGTGAGTGTATGTGTGTGTGTGTGTCAAAGTGTGTGTGTGTATGTGTGCACCTCTCAATGTGTGTGTGCACGAGCTTATATATGCATACGAGTGTTTGTGTTTTTTTTGGTGGTGGGGTGGAACTTGGGTGAGTTCCCACACTTTATTCCCCAGGACTTGTACCCTGCAGAAGTCAATGCCTATGTAGACCTCTTTGACAGTAATGGAAGTGTGAGTGCTGCAGATGAAAAGAAGTGAATGAAACAGCACAAAGCATATATATATAATTTCATATGTAATTGGTGCCATATTTGGTTATTATAGGAAGGCCCGCAATTAACAATGTCCCATCTTTTTATTTTTATTATTATTATTATTATTATTTTATTATTTAAATAGCGCTATCACATTCTGTAGCGCTGTACAATGGATGGACGAACAGACATGTTATTGTAACCAGACAACTTGATGTTCAGCAACAGAGAGGTGGAGGGCCCTGCTCAATGAGCTTACATGCTAGAGGGAGTGGGGTATAGTGACACAAAGGATAAAAGTAGGGGTACGGAGTAGGTTGTTAGAAAAGTATTCATTGAGGGCTTAGTAGGTAATTTTTGACAGTTGCAGGAGAGGAGTCATGGGGGATGGGGGATAAAAACCTGCTAACAGTTTAATTGATATGCTTTCTTGAAGAAGTGAGTTTTCAATGATTTTTTTGAATGAGTGGAGACTGGGTGAAATTCTTACAGAGAAGGGAAGGGAGTTCCACAGAAGAGGTGCAGCCCTGGAGAAATCTTGGAGGCGAGCATTAGAGGTGGGCGCACGGACAGAGGATATACGTAGGTCTTTGACAGAGCATGGGGGCCGCGACAGGACATACTTGTGTATTAGGGAGGATAGGTAGGTTGGAGCAGCATTATGTAGGGACTTGTAAGAAAGCACCAGAATTTTAAGTTGAGCCCTATATCTAACTGGAAGCCAATGCAGGGACTGACAGAGCGGGGAGGCGTGGGAGGTGCGGGCGGACAGGAAAATGAGCCTCGCCGCCACATTTATTATAGATTGCAGCGGTGCAATCTGGGAACATGTAACACCACTGAGAAGGGTATTGCAGTGGTCAAGGCGAGAGAGAACAAGAGCGTGGACCAGCACCTT